ATGAAAATAAATTTGAAAGTTGATAGGATAGTGAAAACTACAAAGAACCGGAGCTATAGGTCTTCAAGAAAGACATTTCTGTGCCGAGATGTTGGCTGGCTTATTCAGATAACAATTAAAATGTGGATGAGTCAAGTAAAAGCTACGGTTCTGGTTTGACCTCCTCTCATTTTATCAACTTCATCATCAGTGGTCATTCCATTATTATGAATTTTACTATGATCTTCATTTCTTTCTTCACCTTCATTTCACCTGTAAGATAGACACTTGAATGCAGTAACTCCCAGCACGAAAAGTTCCAAACCTTCAGAATATTCTATAAATTCATACCTCTTACGGGATAATAATTATAGGTGGAATTAAAACCTGGGTCGTGGCAGGATTCAGACCAGCCGTCTCGAGATTATCTACTTACCAATCTACTAGCTGAGTAACAAGACTTGGCTGCAGACCAGCTCTCACCTCTTTTTTTTATCACTGCGGATTTTTTTGGCTGTCATTCCATCCTGTGATGCATAACCCCTGGTTCATCGTAGCTGCACTAACTGCCTAACCAGGATTTCCCATTTCAATCTGAATCTAGCTGAATGAAAGAGCCCGATAATAGAATTAACTGTTAGAGAGAATATCTGAGATATTTGTGGTTTAGCTGACTCATATTACTCACTGATAGGGTACAATGATTGGAAGGTTTATTTGTGACCTGGTACCAACTGCATTTCTCAAAGTTCTAATAACAAATTGTGACCCATGGGTTCGAATAAGTTGAAGTGAAGCACATACTTGTCGGGACAATTGTATAGTGTTCACTTGATATTGTGAGCTGATCGAAGTAGAAAAATGTGGAGACTCGATTCTAGTTGAATTCTGGCTGAATGGTGATCCACTAGTAGGGACGAGTGAAAGTACTTGTTTCAATTCTTTGGAAAATCCTGTATCTTTAATGACCCTCTAAATGATTTCAATCCATGATAAAATTACTTTCAGAAGCTGGATCTCTTAGGTTACCTAGTGAAGTACCGAGGAGGTAACATAGAGGCAGCTGGTTTAGATCTTGCCGTGACCTAATATCATCGCCTATCTGTAATATCAGTTTGCAAAACCAAAGCTGTTTCCCTTGGTCTTGTTGTCATATTGGTTATTACTGAATCATATTTATATATATGCACGTGTGTATTTCCTACACCTCAACATTGTTGTCATCGTACCCTAGAGCTTATTATATACAATCGGCTGTCCTTTTTCTCGAGTAATATAAATACGACTGAACAGCTTTAGTGAATGGTATCATTGATAAAGTAGTTTCTTCTTCTGTGAGCTACCTTCTTGCTTCGTAATTACAAGTGGTTTTAATAGTCCATACAGTCGACGAATTTTGAACCAAGCTAAATATTATTAAATTTTTGTGAAAGAGACGGAAATTTAAACACTGTAACCTGTTTAATTATTGTTCCATAACATCTACTTCGAGCTTGTATCGGATGCTTATAAATACTTGGAATTAGCTTACTAACTTCGGATTAAATTTTCATTTACTCCATCAACCAGGTGATTTAGAAAGTAGCTGACTACAACACTGGGTGATGTAGGTTTGAATGTCAGGCGGAGCATCAGTTTCGTCTAGGTTACAGATACGTCTTGTTAACCAGTGCCAACAAGTATGAAACTTAGGTACAGGGCATCCTACAGATTACCTTCAACTAACTAATATGATTTCGAAAAACCATTGGAAATATTTTCTCTTCATGTATGGTGATAGTATAATTCATTAAAAGACTGAATAAAATCTGCAGTATTGTTAAATATTCTATTTTATTCAAGAAATAAGAAAGGATACTGGCAAGACTAGATCTTGAATATCACTTCTCATTAAAATTTTGTTATCTAACTGGAATGAACTTACAAAATTTAACATTGAACAGATATCTACGGCTTATTGTATCTAATATCATCGTGTTATTTATTGATATTTTTAATTTCATATTGTTATACTGAGTTGAACTGAAAGATCTATGTTGTATCTAAGCTCGAATAAGACAAAACTCTAACCACTACTAAGCAAATGCAGTATAATCAGTATTCAGGCAATATCGAGGCATTCGAAGAAGAGTCCATTGGCTAACAGAGTTCGATCAATTCGATACAGTTTAACAGCATGAAATTACAAATATCAATCAATAATGATCAATGAAACTTGTTGAACATGTTACTCCTTTGCTTTAGTGGCCTAGTGGGTAAGGCTTTGACGTCTGGATATGGGGATGCAGAGTTCAGAAATCGTTCGAAAATCCATCATTAAGTGGAAAATAGGTACATACAGCTAAAGAGTCCCGTGTGGACGAAACACACATCGTTGATCCCACCACCTGCTACCACCGAAGGGATTACAAAGTTGCATTGGCATGAATATTTCTGAAGACATCAGGATCTTGGTTTTATTATGTTCTATGAGCTAGGTTGTTTAATCGTGAAGCTTTCATCGTCTCTCTAGACGACATCATCAGTACTAACTTCAGTATGAAGTGAGCTGCCAGTATCTCTCTGTGAATGATTTAGTGGCTTGCTCTGACGATGTGGTCTGTGGTTGGTTGTTTCCTTTGATTGTTGTGTCATTGACTGTATAGACTTTCCTGTTGGCTGTTCCTCTGCTTGACCTCTCACCTTTCTGTCGTTTATCATTTTTCTTATTGGTTGAAAAATCGGGTCTATGTCTTATACATCTCTCCATTGATTACTGACTGACTGACCTGAATGCCAAGCTTCTAGGAATTCTCTGACATTCTTTGTGTTTCCTCGTCTAGCAAGACGATGAAAGCTTCACGATTAAACAACCCAGCTCAGAGAACACAATACAACCAAGACCATCCACCTGAGCTACAAATATTCTCCATTATTTCAACATCAAGATCTTACTTCTTATACATACCGCAAGGCATTATTCATCATCTCCTGACTGTCTAACCAATCTCCCAGCTAAAAATCACCAGTAGGAAATATCTTGACAAAGCGCTGTAAACTGATGGAATTACTGGATCATTTAAAGCATGATGGAAATTCGTTTTCAGTCAATCAGTAATGAGTGGTTAACATCGCTCGAACTCACAAAAATACTAAATAGTGACAATAACAGTCAAATAGGTTAAGTGATCAATTTGAGATTGACTGCTACAACCTTTTTATGACTTTGAAACAAAAAGAATGATAAAAGTATATAAATATTTGTAATGAATTATCTTCCCCCTATAAAATACTTGCAACTTCTGTTTTGCTCAGTTTCTATAGTTGAAATCCTTAGATAAGTTCATTTCATGGTACTGTTGTTCGTTTGAATGTTTCATCTCTCTTCAGCCGTTTAAACGATATATAACAGGAAAAAGGATACAAAGTGAATGTACTGTAGGTAGCTTCCAATCTGTTAGCTAATCTGTGACAGTCATCGAATCTAATATTCCTAGATTTTGGGTATACAGTTCAGCCTGTTCTCTTTGCATGAATCATACCTTGAGTTGTTTAAGTATGGTGATAATGTGTGTAACCTAACTAGAATTATTTACTCAACTAACCTTGTTCTTCTTACATTCCATTCATGAAGTGATGAGTACTGTCAGATGGGAGTGCTTGATAAGAAGCCTTATGGTCAGTAGTACTTTATTCACTCCAACTAATGCAAGTGTAGCCATCTGTAATGTGATCAGTGGTGCTACTCATTTGTCTAGATGAGAATCTGTTAAGAGGCATTGTTTACAGTCATTAGTTGTGTGAATATAAATATTTAGTTAGCCTAGTGGTATTCAGACTGGGCTGCATTGTATAGCCTAGATTTATCTTTTTCCAGTAAAGCGGTAGAATATCCCTTCGATATTAGTATGTTTTGCAAACGAATCTGATTGATTTACTCAATTATAGCTAACTGAATGATCTCACCATAATTCGCTCTGAAAAAGACACTAAACGGGCTTGATCTGCAGCAATGAATGATGATCGGTAGATCTCTGTTTTCAAAATGATGAATATCTTGAAATGAGCATTTGGTATTTTTAATTCCCTTCTCACTTATTCTCGTGTAGAGTTATGAATGTTTCCGTTTTTATAAGCTTGGTTTTATACTACTTAATAATGCTAAGTAGTATGATTAATGTAATTATATATATATATATATATATATATATATATATATATATATATATGCTTCATGAACTTGACTGTTCATTCTGTTCAGTCGTACTTTGTTTATCGCTTAACGTACCTAGATTTTAGTACCATCCCCTGTTTATGGCCGTACTGATATTCTTTTGTTCTCCGATGTTCTATTTTACCTTGGATATTTGTTTACCTAGTGTCTTTACCTCATCGTGGCATACGCGCGTCTTTTATATTCCCTACTAGTTTACTTTGGGCACAGCCTTATTGTTTATACTGTTCACGCACTCTTTGTAATGCGTTTTGATGACGATAAACCAGCAGATACCTCATGATTTGAGGTTTATAATTTATCGGTTACTAGTGTTAATTAAAACAGAACCCTATTTCAGACAAATCTTGTGTTAGGGATTGTTGGAGAATCGCTTGGGTTCCGAATTTCTTGGAAAGCAATTCACAGTACAAATAATCTTACTCAGTATCAGACACCTTGTGAATCGTGTGATTTCAACTTTAGGAATGTCACCGAAGTCTTTTTTTCTTTTTCGAGACCAACATTATTGTGAGTTTACTAAACTATTGATAGGACCTGATTGAGTATCTCAGAGGATGAAAAAATGATTTAGTATAAAGTGATTACCAGGTTTATAATGAATCATCACCTCAGACTAAATTACATTCCTCGCACTAGGCTTAAAGACAATCCCTTCCGATGGGTTGAGGAGTGATTATCGTTTTGGTAAAAAATTGGTTTCGTATTTATTCTTCCTGTTCTCTTCAACTTGTTACACTTCATTTTGTGTTTATCTTATGAATGTGTTTCAACAAAAGAATTGACTGTTGCCATCTTTCCATTTTAGTTCCACTTCATACAGTGAGAATGTATCATTCGCTGGACTACCTTTCGGATACGGTTCATTGATCAAAGTCTGATTGAGGTAACTCCGTAACTTTGAGACATAGTTTATATATTTTTGTAAACTTCAGGATCGAAATTTGACCTAATAGAGTTGAATAAGTTGAGCATTGGGTAATTGGATTAAAAATGAAATATATTTTGCAAAATCCCTATGAAGTAGAAAAATAAATTTCTAACGTTTCATGACTTCGTGGAAATAGCTTCTTCAGAGAATAAAACCTATACAAGTTGTCGATTGTTTACATAGTAAAATGTGACGAATCAGATCACATTGTCTGTCTATACATGATGATGATATGAACGTGAATGTCATCGTTATGCTGATAAGAAGCGTTCACAATTTGCTTTTGTTTATCAGTTAGCTAGTCTGGAGCTCAAGGTGATATGAATATGTGTACTTGTACCTGGGTGTGAAAGTGTAAGAAAAAATAGATAAATAATATGGATGACAAATTCGGTTTGTTTGTGTGTATTTACTTTTGATCAGATCATTGTGTGTGATGTGTTGCTTTTGGAAATACTGTCCAGGTTGTTTGGATAGTTAGGCCTTCCTTTCTGTTGAGTGCATTTGGATTCAACATGTGAAATGCTTCGCCTCTGCTATTCTTCTTTCTTTGTAGTTAGAAAATCCCTTTTGAATAATTTTAATATTTTCAATATAGATTTTGTGACTGTGATAGATGGCGTGGACTGCGATCGCTGACTTGATCAGTAAGTTCTCTAGTTCTACAGGATTATTTGGCGGTCGTTCTGTGTAGCTTGCATGGTCTTTAGCCCTAATGAGGATCTCGCGGGATGATTCTCCAATATAATAGGCATCACAGTTGACACAGCTTAATTTGTAGACACAATTTTGTGTGGAGGCAAAAGGAACTTTGTCTTTTAAGTGGACTAGAGCATTCCTCCGAGTCCTAGTTGTCTTGTAAAAGGTCCTAATTCGGTGCTTTCTTAAGATTCTTTGTAGCTCTTCGGTTGTACCTTGGCGGAATGGTAGAACTATTGTACCAATCCAAGAATTATCATTTGAATTCTCTCTTGGGTCCTACTGTTCATGTTTCTGAATCTTTTGAATAACATTCCTAGGGTAGTTATTGGAATATTTAACTTACTTCCGTTTTCCTGTCATCTTCATTCGTGATGAGCTTTATGGCTCTCCTGAATAAGTTCCGAGCAAGTGAAAGTTTAGCACTGAGTAGATGTACTGAGTTAAAATCAAGATATCGATTTGAATGTGTTAGTTTACGATAAATCGATAAACTTAGACTTCCGTTTCCATTCCTTTAAACTAAACAGTTTAGGAATGGTAGCTCACTGCTTGCATTTTCATGTTCACATATGAACTTGATATGTGGAGAATAAGTGTTAATTAATTTCGAAAAGGTTCTGAGGCCAGATCTTTTGAAAGTTACGAAAGTACCATCTACCTATTTGAGCTAAATATGTGGTTTGATGGTGTTCGAAAAGATGATTGACTCAATGTGGGACATGAAAAGGCTTGCAACGATAGGGGACACCGGAGAACCCATAGCTACTGCATTAGTTTGCTTGTATAGTTTTCCTTTAAACGTGAAAAGTGTAGACTTTAAACAAAAGTTGAGTGCTTTCATTATGAAGTTGGGGTTCAACGGAGATCTATCTGCCAACGTATGATCATATTCTAGTAGTTCACTTATGAACTCTAAACATTTTTCAATGGGAATACTAGTATACAGTGAAACAACATCAACTTACCATTGTTTCATTCTCTGCAATAGATAATTCCGATATTCTTGAATTAAATTCATAAAAGTCTTAAATTGAGCTGATAATAGAGCGTTGGAGGGGCTTTAATAATGATGCTAGATATTTAAATAACTGATAAACAAAGACAAATTGTGAACGCTTCTTATCAGCATAACGATGACATTCACGTTCATATCATCATCATGCATAGACAGACAATGTGACCTGATTCGTCACATTTTACTATGTAAACAATCGACAACTTGTATAGGTTTTATTCTCTGAAGAAGCTATTTCCACGAAGTCGTGAGACGTCAGAAATTTATTTTTCTACTTCATAAGGATTTTGCAAAATATATTTCATTTTTAATAGTTTTATATAGTTATAATCTTCTCTCTTACTTTTAATATGGGTGGCAGAATTTTCTATTCATCTGGAACAGGTGCTGAATCATTCTCGTGGCAAAATATTCTGTTTTGAAATTAGATATGATCCACGGAATCCTGTGAACTTTGACCTTTCATCATGCCATTCTGATATAATCAGCTAACTTTCGTTTAAAATAAAAGCAATCAACTAATCAGTGAAGGTGAACTACAGTAGATCAAAACCAATGACCTGTTCAACTAAACTTTAGTGACGTACAAAGACGTTGAACCAATAATAAGCAACCATATTAAGGATAACATAACTGATAAGGAAAATTATATTTTCTTCACAAACTATAAGTCTGATTTATATATGATATAAAGATGTCTCGACTTCAATGAGTTTATCATATTGGAAACCATACGACTGTCTGCATTGCAACTCATCCATATGAGATTATATCACATGCACTCATGATCTTGTTAAATGTTATAAGAACTTTCTTAGATGACTCCACAAATTTTCAACTGTTAGGATAGATTCTTTGGGTTGAAAGCCAAATTCGACCGAATGGCCTATCAAATGATCTTGAATCACCAATCGAAACGTTTTATTGTCCAAGTACGTATTAACCATAAAAGCCTTCCTTTTGGAATTTTTCTAATAGGCTAATGAAAAACTAGGAAATAGTTTCACAGTATGCATGGTAAAGCATTCTTGTATAAATATTTTATTAATTTTTCGACAATTTATCTCATCTAAGCAAACTTCGTTGTTTAAGTATGTTCATAATATAGGATGATTCTGATTGGTCATTCTAGGTCATCTGATAAGTTGTTGACTTAAGGTCTTTGAGGTTTAACGTTGCCAATAGGTTAGGGAATCTTTAACAAACTAATAAAGTATAGTGACCTGGAAATGTAGAGTTCATAGTAAAATAAATCAACTTCTTCGCTCATTTTCAATCTTTAAAAATTATTTACATTGTTTAAGGCATCTTTTAATAAAATCAAATTCAAAGCTTTTTGCTTAAAACAGAGAACAATATCATCATCAACAAAACACATTTGTGTGAATATTTATGAAGATCAGTCGTTTCTTATTCGAATAAAGTTTAAAACTTACTGATGAGTATAAAATAGGAATATCATTTCTTATCCTACGTCAAACAATGCTACTTGAAAGTCTCAGGAATTGTTATTACCCATCTGATAATAGTATGCAGGACGCGCATTTCGGCCTTTTTAGGAATCATCAACTGAATGTGCCTGCACCCCAGTGGATGACAAGTTTTCCACTGAGACTCATATACCACACCCATCACTTCAAACATCAGAACCTTATCCTCCAGACGACTGAGTTGAGAGAGCCATCTCTTGTCCAACAAGAGTCAGTAGTATTCATCATGGACTGACATCAGTTGGGGAACCATTGGAAATCTGGGAGCATTGGACAGCCGTTTCGTCCTAGTATGGAACTTCTCAGCAGTACGCACTCACGACCCAGCTAGGGATTGAACTCAGGACCTTCAGGTTTCACGGTGAACGCGTTAACCATTCAACCACTGGGTCGGTTTCCAACTTCTGTCAATTCACGACATAGTGCGACTATCACCCAAGGTTTTCAATTAGCATCCACTTCACTTCCGACTGCTTGACCCCACAGGTCACGGCTTCTCAGTTATTAACATTTACTGATACCTTTAATTTCTAGTTGATATACTGGATTGAACATATCATCATGTTTTGAACTCGTCAGTGAAATGTATCCATACCACAGTGAGTGATATTGTTCCCACTGAGAACAGTATAGCAACAGGAAATTACAAATATCAATAAATAATAATTCATCTAATAAGTTCATACGTGTCTACTCAAAACAATAGAGTACTATCTCTAAATACCTTGGTACTTTTGTATCACATACCAAAAATAGCATTTATTTTCATGAAACTCAAATCAAAAATTGGTTTATTCACAGGACGGTGCCTAAACGCTCTATCAATACAAACGCTTATACAGTATAGTATCATCTGAAAATGCAGACAAAATTGGAAACTAATGTCCTTCCGAATGATATCAGTCTATGATGAATACCAACTTGAAAAACCCCTAAATCCCCACAAACTTCGAACGTGAATTAATCTAGTCCTGATAAGTGACTAGCTTCAACAGGGGATTCCTGAAGTTCCAATGAGAAATCGTTGCCAGTGGTGGTGGCGGCCATGAGAACAAATACTCAACTATGAGATTAGGTGATGGTCGCGCTATGTCGTGAAATGATAGAAGTAGGAAGTATGGACCACTGAATTCCGATCCAGTGACTCAATGGTAAGGGAACCTGAAGATCCTGGGTACTATCCATGGTGTTGTGGGGTCATGGGTGCTCAGTGCTGATGGGTCTCGTGCTAGGATGAAGTAGCTGTCCAGTACTCCGAGGTTTCCAATGTTTCTCCAACTGATCTCAGTCCATGATTAATACCAACTTGAGAAAATCACTAAATCTCCACAAATTCCCAAAGTAGATTTGTTTCTAACTTGGTGGATGCTTGTAAGTTGTTCTGTTGGATATGAATTACTTCCAACATCCTGTAGGATGATGCAACGCAAGAGATCAAGAATGAAATGTCTTTTTTCGGCATCCTTGTTGTCTACTTCATACCTAAAAGAAAAGCAGCATAGATGCTCCGTCAACGATATCATCTGCAATCAAACAGATAGGATGGTTATTGGTTCTCCTGTTGCCCCACTGTTGGTAGACTGCTTTATGCCCAGTTTATACAACAACAGTTAAAGCCAATGATTGACAACCTTTTGGCGCACAAAAGATATGCTCATGTAATCTTCATAATTTACCATGATGAATGA